AATGAAAAATTACTTGCTTATCTTTTTAGGACGACTCTTAACTCTATATCAGTCAGAAAAAAATGATGAAAAAAAAAGTTCTGCTTTCCTTTTATTTATTTTTTATTTATTTTTTTTCATTCGTTTTTCATTTTTGCTAAATCGTAAATCAAGTCAAATTAAAAAAATATATATATGGGGTTGTAGGGTTTTATTTTTAGACCAAAACAAAACCCCAAAAAACCAGGCCGCGAGGTAGGCCTCGTTGGCTGTCGCCGCAACGGACTTTTCCAGTCACGGTGGTCGATTTGCCCACCACCTAGGCTGCGGGTGTCACGTAGCCTTTCCCCCACAACTCCCCTTGAAGGAACCATGATAAGCAAGAGACAAAAATTACATCTTTTGTTGGTTGAAAGTTTTGTAGGGCTGTCGCTATCCGAAACAAGGATTTTAATCTTACCTATGAATTGAAAGAGGGAGTATTGGAGGTGGGACTATCAACACCGGTGTGATCAATACACGACAAAGTGACAATGCAAGGAACTCCGGTAGGAGTCCTCTCATCACTCATAGGTACAATGATAGGGGAAGTGCAATTCAAAGCATAAACTGTTAAAATCATTCAAACACAACTTCCTCTGGGAACTAACATTTCGTTCAAATTGACATTTTTACTATTTTTACGAAATGAAATTTCGTCATTTTTTTACTATGTTTTTGTGTGGGAAAGCGTGAGTTTCTTCTTCGTCGGACTATAGCTACCATCACATGGTTTGCGTCTATCATATCCCATATGAGATCCATCATATATCATTGACCATATACCGCAACTATGGTGTGGTTTATCCTCTACCATAAGGGTCCATCATGCATCATACATTATAATATGTTACCCCATCTTATTACATATACATCACTGATGCTTATCATACGATATCTATGCTTGGGGATTCATTTACACAATAACGTAATTTGAGTATTTGCATGTACAAAAGGTTTTGAGACCTCAATCTTCGCATAAACCCATCGAAACCTCCTCCTCTCCGCCCTCCCCCCGCGCCCCGCCCCCTAAACAATTATTTGGATGTGGTTAATATGTCACGGTTTTTAACACTCAATAGTCATGCATAATGTTTGATGCAATATTTGTCTTACAAATAATCATTTTAATAACAAGTGATTTTCTGTAACATTTTCACACAACATTACACATTACCAACATTCGTAAAATACACCATATTTTACTATAAGTTTATAAGATATTTAGCCTATATCTTTCCTCAATTTGTTCTCAGCCTTTCCAAAGCGACTTCCATTTCCTCTGTAGATTTCTAAGCGAGCTGACATAAGATATCGAGTGTTTTGCAAAACATGTGATCAATAACCTCTTCCTATACAATGTTCATATTATCGCAATCTAAATTACTATACTATTTACCCTTTGTGACCGTCCTAAAAAACATGTTTTATCTATAAATCGCGAAGCTATTGAGTCAATGACGTTCCTTCGTCTTATGTCCTGGATGTCGTCCATTGAAAAATTGAATGGTGGCACCTTGCCTCTCGCCAAAAGAGAAGCATAAGTAAGCATAAACACTCACTCTGGCTTGTGTCTTCTTGTTTTGGAATGCCCTGCACATCCCAAGCGTGTTTGAAGCATGATTTATTGACTGTATGACCTTATTGCGTTGACCGCTCTAACAAAACTCGTGCGAAGTGACCTGCCACCTGTTTAGCTAACTCAATATTTGTATTCATTGAATCGTAATGCTCTATCAATTTTCGTCGACGATCAGCTACGACAAGAGTTCAATGTTTCTTTTTTGCATCATGCTATGGAGTTATAATCAGCTCCCTGTCTGCTATGATGACATCCTGAAACCACCTAGCAACTTTGTTGTAATTATATTTCATGTTCTTGCCTAGAAGTTTAGCGAAAAAGTTCGAGTTATATGAAGTTGTGACCGGGATCGCCCGTTTGCTATATGCATTTGACTTGTCAAACGGAGTGTCACATTCGCAATGAATATTATGTAAGTGTTGTCATGCAGAATCATTTTTATGCAGAAATTCGCAATGTTATTGTTCAAACACTTGTTCTTATTCATGAGGATACTGTAATCATGCACAATGAATAACAATTGCTCTCTCGTAGCTTCATTTTTTGTGCTTGTCAGTGTTTTTGTATTATTCATTTCTATACTCATGTGGCATAATGCTTCTTCTTCTCTCTTATTGAGAGTGTCCGTTGCTAAGCGAATAATCCACTCATGTACACAACTATGTCCGCCTTCATTGCACTGGTTAACTGCATCAAAAAGCAACAATTTCAAACTGTTTGTTATTAATGTTTGCTTGCAGTACATCCATTAACATTTACTTGTTCAAATTTTGGTTGTTAAATACTCCATCATTGTGTGTCATACAAAATCTTATCTGTGTGTGTGTGTGTGTGTGTGTGTGTGTGTGTGTGTGTGTGTGTGTGTGTGTGTGTGTGTGAGAGAGAGAGAGAGAGAGAGAGAGAGAGAGAGA